AAGACTAGATATAAGGAATTAAACAACTGAAGTATTAATTTTTCAGTTTTTCATTGATTTGTTTGCTAGGAAATGCACATCTTGTATAGATCGTATAGGAAAATAGTTTTGAGCTTTTTATCATTATAAGTATGATATTACAATGTGGTCATTTAACACTTTAACTCCCATGAGTGACCAAGACAGATTTTCTCCTTACTACATCAATATTATATTAAGCAGAATAGTGATGAGAATAATTAACAAATGGTAAACACCACAGCGTACACCATTGATCGAGTCATGGATGCACGCGGGAGGTTGCTAAGCACGAAAGAAGGGTAAGAGTCGTGCGAGGCAATAGCCGAGAGCGACTCTAGCTTCTTGAGTGCTTAGCAGACCTCCCAAGTGCATCCATAGCTCAGTAGTGTACATTGTGGCATTTACCATTTGCTTTATAACATAACGTTGATACATTGTAGCAAAAGAGTTTTCTTTCATTTAACAAATCTTACGTGACCAACAAGCGCGCGCGGAAAACTAGTCTTTGCATTTGCTCACGGCAGCAGCATACACCCACGGCCAAATGGTGGGCGCTGAATTGACTAATCAGAGCGCGCGCTTTACTTTGGTTATGTTATAAAAGAAAATATCAATTAGGAGATTTTCAATTGATCTTGTACCAAATTCTCTGAATTAATTAACATCATAAGAATTATGTGGCACACAGTAAGGAAAATTACTTATGAGATCTGATGAGAGTGAAAGGGTTCAGATACCAGCAAAAAGCCCATTTCCGAATTACCCTGGCCTCATTTTCAAAACGAGTTTTGGCGCTCATCCTTTCCTATGATTATAAGTTTTCTTTCACATGCAAATTAAACTCATTTTCACAAGAATGGTTGAGCACCAGGCCTCGTTTTGAAAAAGAGGCCAAAAGTAATTCGGAAATGGTGTTATCAGTAATGGTTACAGAAGTAAATTTAGGTGAAGTAAAAGAGCCAGTGTGTGAAAAGCTTTTTAGAGGCTGACATATTAGAAATATGATAATTTTTGGTTTAAAACTAGTAAACAAAGGAGTGTTCCTTTTTTTTTTCCTTTTTTGAGCTATGTGTATGTTCATGCCATTAGATAGCGCTAGTCTACCAGTTGGCTCTCATGAGCACTACTTCACAAGCATCTTGCAGAGTTTTTGTTATTATGTCACAAAAGTAATTTACTACTCACTGAAAATGGGAAAATTCTCTCTTGGCAAATAAAAATTATTGCTGGGAACAGTAAAACAACCCGCGGTTCTCAAGTGCTAATTAGTCGCCACTCTAGTGGTCTTTCTCTCCCCCACTCTCCCAAATCAGCAAAGAATCCCGCTCGTTGCCTTCGTGCATGAGCTTGCTGTCTATTGCACTTCTGCAGAGTTGGTGTTAATGAATTTTACTCTTACTGCCTTTGCGTTTGACAGTAGTACTTGTCACATATGCCAGTCATTCGTGAAATGGATCACTGATACGTGCATTATATGTGACGTGGCTCCCTTGCTCGATCGCCATAAGTTCCGTCGCCCCCAAGTGAAGTATCGTCGCCTCGTAGTATTGTTTGCGTCGCCCCCAACTTTCACTTAAGTTTGATTAAGGTTTTAAACATTGAATTAACTATGATTAAATAGTTCCATCCCAATACTTTATAAAAGGCAGATTGAGTTATTTTAAGATATCACATTAGCTACTACTGCTCAGAGAGGTCTACACCCAAATCACTTCAACTGAAATAAGTCGTTGTCAACTGCCACGATGCATATTTATATCGATCGTCAATCTCCTCTTCTTGCACACCAGGTAGCTTTGCTATGTGACCGCTGTTATACTGGCATTGCTCAAGCCGATTAGCGTGCCGCTGTGCATTAGCACTGCTTTTCCCTGAATTACTCACAATAAAGTCATTGTGCCACTTGGATAGCGTTGTATTCAACTCACTGTGTAGATATTTGACGACCACAAGGTTGCGCTAGCATCCTCAAGTGAGACGTTTTGCAGGAAATCATACACAAGTAATAGTTGAGCAGTGATGGTATCTGTTTCTTGTGAGCTTATGAAACAGTGAGGCTAGTTCACGTAAGTACTTGACATTCTCTGTATTAATTAGTCGCATCGCACAAAGAAACTTGGAGGAAGCTTCTCATTGCGATGAAATAAATCTGTGCATTTTTTCAGTTTCCCAGCCCAATTTCCTTCATTCATCCAGGTTCCAATAAAATGAATGTAAAATGAGCACACATTGCTTTGTCATCGGCAGCAAACGTGCAAAATGCAAGGTTGATTTGCATGCAATATTCAATTTTAGTCGACGATCTGATGATCAACGAACTGAAAAGATCGTGCAGCAGCCTGAAATTCAACCCTTAAAAAAAGCACACTCTCCAAATATAAAAGGGAGAAACTAAGTAGTTTCGGGATTGAAAAGTGTCTGCAAACTGAGATCGAATGCAGTTGCGAGATCAGACAGACGTTTTGGCATCACTAAATTAAAGCTAATTGAGGCATCTTGAATTTATCTTTTAATATTCACACTAATTAATGACGGTGCACGGTGTTTGCACATAGACGCCTTTAAATAAATTCAAGTGTCTGTGAGACCAAGGATTTTAAGCACGAAGAATGAGGTTAACAGTGAGATTTCAATCAGTTTCTGTCGGTTGCTTCCTTTCTACGATTTTATTTAATAGAAGCGGAAATTTGAATTTCTCTATTCTTCATCAACGTTGACAAAGAATGCACTTAGTGAATGATCTCTAAGAGCTTATCAATACAAACAAAGACCACTTTCATAAATGGCTGCCGGATTAATATTCTTTTGTTTAAATTTAAATTAGCCCTCCTGATCTCGTTCTCCAAAATTCAAAAGAATACATTATCTCAAGCGAGGCCAGAGGGGCTAATTTAAATCTAAACAAAAGAATATTAGTCCGACAGCCATTTATGAAAGTGGTCTATGACGCATGTAGATCTCACTTTAGTCGCGCGATGAATATTCAAAGCACATTAATTATTTTGTCCCAGTATCTTCTATTCATTCATATAATACAAGTCAATCACAGACTGATAATCTGTTGGTTAAATCTGTTCATACCACTCAATACGGCATTCCTTCTCCCAGTTACACTGGTCCGAGACTTTGGAATTCTTTATCTGTATTGATGTTAAGAAAATCAAGCTGTATTCCAGTTTTCGTCAATATACCAAGATTTCTTTGATTGATGGTTATAATGCTATTATTGATTCCTAATGTTTTTACAATTCTTTTTAATAATTTCTTTTCCTTCACAATCTCTTGATTTTTTTTCATTTAAAGCACTAATTTGTATTAACTATTATTCTGTGCGAGTTTAAATAAAAATTGACTTGACTTGACTTGACTTGACTTAGCATGATGTCACCTTTCCTTATTGCGGAATATGCAAGGAAATCATAGATCGACATTGTTTTAGGCCAAGCTTAGATTCCCCTATCCCGCACTCCTTCACCGTTCCTATAGGCGACATTTGGCAAAGCTTTTATTTAAAACACAAGATGGGATACGAATTATGAATGTACACACAACGGAGGATCCGTGACGTCATCTAAAATGGCAAATTTTAAGAACAAAATTGTTTCTTTCGTCTTGAGATTAACTTTTTTGTCTTCTAATTCCAGTCCATTATTATTTTTCCTCGACAAAATCTCAGGGTAGACGATGTTTCTAAAATATAGCATACTACTGGCCGTCTTTCTTGGGTATGGACTTTGTGAGAGCGAGAAAAATATTTCAAGGCCATTGAATGGCACTGTCATTGGTAACCAGACCCTCCCGCATGCAGATGGTCCATACTTGAAAAATATGACACGGCAATTGAGTGGCGCTGTCATTGGTAACCAGACCCTCACGCGTGCAGATGGCCCATACTTGGTCACCAGTGACTTAGTTGTCACAGAAAATGCTACTCTTACCATAGAAGCTGGTACTCTCATTAATTTTGTTCCATCTGTGGGAATTCGTGTTCGTGGATCATTTAATGCAAAAGGAACACCTTCTCAGAGGATTTCTTTCCGAGCGATTCCTTGTGGAGAAACAAGTTTTTGCAATAAAACGGACGGGGCTAAATTTTACAGTCGGGGAATAAGGCTTGTGAATGGAACATCCTACGACAACGGCCGCCTTGAACTGCAGTATAATGGACAGTGGGGGGCTTTCTGTTACCGCTGGAATATGTGGGGTCTTATGCAAGTGGCCTGCAGACATCTTGGCTTCCTTGGAGCAAAGAAGATTTACTATCATCCTGGCAGCGGTCCCGTGATGATGACGAGTGTTAACTGCAAGGGAACCGAAAAGAGTCTATGGGATTGTCCTTACCATTGGATTACGAATGTTCCGTATTCATGTCGTAAGTTCATCTCAGTCATAAGTATAAATATTGTTTTCTTGTTTGCTGCACGTTACTTTTCGTGAAAAAATTTTCTTTCTGGCTTCAAAAAAAATTATGATCGTCAAAACGATTTAATATTTCAACATGTCACCAAAATAACTTAGCAATGTTTTTTTTTCTGCTTTTTGCTACGAACCACGAAAAAAATTCTCCAACAATAAATCCTGTCTCATGCACTATTAATCCGGTATAGGTGACGAATACCTCGACTGCTTAATGTCTTAGTCACCTGGTCACCATTTCTGTGGGCTAAGGCACCCCAGACACCCGAGAAAACGTCTACGATTTTGACATTAAATTGTCCCTGTTGACCAATTTGAAGTTTACTACGCACTTTCGAATGTTTTTAAGTTCAGTCTTTGCTATGAATTTTAATACTTGGTATACACTCTTTTCAACTTTTTTCGACCTTCTTAAAATCATGCTGAATTGAATTTGATTTTCTTGATGTGAGATTTTCGCTTTGAGAGCAACATTACGAAGCTAAACACATCGGTTAGGGGAGCTGAAGTCTACATATGAAAACAAATTGTCCTGACTTGCAAACTCATCAACCACCCGATTTGAAATTAAACCATATTACATTTGTTTAATGTTTTTTAGAGAAACAAAGAAGAATTAGCTCACTAGCTTTGCATGAACAAACATATGGAGAAAGAGGTTGTGTCAAGGTTCCCGAAAGCATGTTACGAGGACCATTCCTACAAGAATCAAGCAATAGAATCGGCTATTTGTACATTGTAGGCTACTAACTACATTCCTATTTTTATTTTTTCACTTTCCATTACAAAAAAATAAATATTTTCAGACGACGGCCGGTACGTTGGCATTGAATGCGACGCTCTCTTGCCTTATTTGGCAGAGACTTTTTACTGGAAAGGTATTCACTTCGAGCCGACGAATTCCTCAGAAGAACAAGGAATCTCTTCGCTGGAGTACGTGGATATTGATAGTGCTCTCGAGGGTGTAAATGTCGTGAGAAATGCCCCAGAGTTACTAAGTGTTACAATTAACGGTAGCGCCTCTGGCTTAAATGTCAAAGAACTTGCCAAACCCTTGACTGTGGTCGATTCTTCAATTATGCGATCTGTGTTGGCTGGTGTGAGCATCGAAATAGTGAGCTCCGGTGGTAATGTTGTTTTTGAAAACGTCATAATTCAGAAGACACGAATTGGAGGAGGCCTTGTTTACAAGCGCCTAGCAGTGAATTTCTGTTCCGTCATTCCACAGAAAGTTTCTTTCCCTTTACTTGTAAATGCCGCTGGAAATCATCATTCCGTAAATTGCAGTAAGGTAGGGTTGAGTGTCTTAGTGAAAATTTTTGAGCGATTTGGGTGAAAAGATGTGCGGAATAACGAGGTAGTATAAACTCTAAACGGCCATTCGCCGGTTGAGATCAACTGCAGAACTTTGAATCGTTAATTTTCCCATCAGATTTTGTCAAGATCGTATCTAGTCCTGGTTCCCTTAACAGGTATTTTTCAAAAGTGCTCATCCTTTTGTCAGATTTCTAGTGCGTGCATATCATTTGAGCAGAGTAACAGGGTGTTCCTAAGCAGGGAGTTTTTAATCCCTAGTTATTTTCTGACAATTGAATACCTGTTTTCGTTTGATAACAAAAGAAATTGTGAGAATTAAGCAGAACTCTTCATCATTGTTCCTATCCTTTCCCGTTCGTTCCCACTGTGTCGAAGGTCAAGGTGCCAGAAGGAAACCTCTAGCCTCAATGAATTTCAGTCTTACTCTTTTACTGGCTCCAGCTATCAACCATTTGAAATCAGTCAAACACTGAACTTTAACTTGAAGGAGTAAGTTTCTAAAGAAACTGTGGTGCTTGAGTCGGGGTGTGTTATGGGGTATAACGAGGTAATTTGGTTTTATCGTCTGAGTTGATAACTCAGACTGGCTACCGTAAAGAGTTCCTCAAGTTTTCACCTTATTATACTCCCCTCAACGGAAAGAATTCTTTAAAGAGATTTACAAAGTTGAATCGAGCTCCTAAGTAAAAACAACTTTAACTACATTTATTCAAAACGGCTTACATATCTATTCATTTAACGCGTTAAGTAAAAAAACTGTCTATTGTTTAGGTTTTCAGAGCATCATCAAGAAGAAAGATCTCATTGTACTTGAGGCTAATTGAGGGAAGTGGATTTGAGCTAAACATTACTGATGCAAGCACAGCTAACAAAACTCACCTTTATAGAATCACAAATGAATACAATGGAAAGGCAATTACGACTATTGCTTGTTCTATTTTGGAGATTTCCTTCTATTCTAAAGGCAGCCCGAGAGTTCCAGCTAACTTGGAAATGATCGTCATGGAGGATCAAGGTAACCTTATTCTTAGTTATCTCTTTAATTAAATTAAAGAGTTTACATGTCAATTTGCTCGTAGGTTTAGATGTCTGTTATTCTGATTCAAAAAGGTGTTTCTTCAATATGTCATCAGTTACCTCGGAAACTCGTCACTTGGTCAGCCAGATCATCTGTCAGTCTGTAACTCGGTCTGTCCGTCGGCCTTTCGGTTGTTTGCTAGTTCTTTTGGTCGCTTGGTCGTTCGGTCGGTCAGTCAGCCGGTGGTTCGGTGGGTCAAACGGTCGGTCCGTTAGTCAGTAGGGTAGCTAGTAACTCAATGAAGAAATGTATAAACGAATGAATTATATTCAATACGAGAAGCAAATGACCACCCATGTTTGAACCTATATACTCCTGTAAAAATTAACCTCTCGGCTATTGTTCTTTTGCAGGCGAGACTTTATCGCTTGTGATATCAAACAGTACCTTTTCTGACAATTTTGAGTCTGGTATTACAGTTGAAAATTTGATTGGTAACTCTCGAATCTCGCAGACAAAGGTGATAGGGAACAATTACTATGGACTTTACGCCAACAACACACAAGGAAAAATCTCTGTGTTAACGTCCGTGTTTTTGCGTAACAAATATAGTGGTTTTACCTTAAACAAGATGACTGGCACTCTAGAATTTAGTAACGTGAACTCCACGAATAATCGAAATTCAGGAATAGCAATCGATGCAGGGACTCTATTATTCCAAATGTCCGAAAGTCTTGTTAAAGAGAACCGTGACCATGGCTTGCAAATCTTAAACCAGGTCAACTCTACTATCAATATTTCCAGCTCACAGTTTATTCGTAATGGTGAAGGGATACATCTTCAGGAATTTCGCTTTTGCTATGTTCGACTCGTGGAAGTATCGTCTCTTAAAAATGGGCAAAATGGGGCTTGGCTAGCAAGATTATCCGACACCAGATTATATGCAAGCTCTTGTAAATTTGATGGAAACTGGCGTCAGGGAGTTTACGCTGACTACTTCTTCGGGGGAGGAATTAATTTGGAAAAGATCTCTACCTCACAAAACTACAGAGATGGTTTTTCTTTCCAGCACGGGGAAACTAACATTAACATAGAATCTTCGTCTTCTTTTGCGAACGGCAGAGATGGTTTTTTCTTGTACCAAGGGGGAAAAGTCGTCTTAAAGGATTTTGCTGTTCATGGCAACAAACTACACGGATTGCAGTTTCATGATAGGAGCTCAGCTTGTCTTCAATCTATTCATCTTCTAAAAAGTAATGTTTCAGGGAACAGTCTAAGGGGTGTGGTGTTTTATCTGGCGCATAGATCTAATCAAGGCCTGGAGAACTTTACCGTCATAAAGGTTGCAAACTCTACAATTTTGAACAATGCTCGAGGTGGCTGTGTGTTCTATCATTACTGCAGCTATAGACTAAGAAATTCGCGGCAGAGACGCATTCAGCTTTTATTTATTGGTAATGAAGTAAAGGGAAACCAAGAATTCGGTTTGATCATCAATGGCCCGGAATGGTTCGAGCTAAATGCTCTCTTGGCTAATAACAGATTTTGCGAGAACAGTGGACTTGCTCTGGAAGTAAGGTCTGGGCAAAGTTGTTACTATTATTCCTCATCACCTTTCAATGTTGAGGTTTCATCGAACAATTTGTCGAATAATAAAGGGGAGTACGTATTTTTCGTCGATTGCAATACGTTACCCTTAAAATGCCGTGTCATGATCAACAATAACACGATTTTAGACAATCAAAGAATCCAGCGGTTTTCCTACTTTTATCTTCGTACCAAAACGCAAGCAGTTTTAGCTGTAAAAGGAGGCAACGTTACTATAAAATACAATTCGTTTACGAATCCTTCGTTCTCTCACGAATTAGCAGCTCTACTTAAAGACCACGAACACGTTCTCCAAGCGGAAGAAAACTGGTGGGGAACAAGAGATGAATGCGAAATAAAAGACCGAGTGTTTGATTTCGAAGATCGAGTGGAACTTGCACAGATTCAATATTATCCGTATTTGGATTCTAGTAATTCTAGTAGCGCCAAATTCCATGATGGTGTCAGACCTTTTTGTTTTCTTCGGGGTAACAGGTTAGGAGGAACATTGAATCAAACCCTCAATATTACAAATCAAATTGATGCCTACCAAGTTATCAGCGATGTCACAATATTGTCCGACGGCGTTCTTTATATTGAAGAAAACGTTACTTTAGGATTTTCATTGAAGAGCGTTTTCCTAGTTCAAGGGCAGGTTATTATAAAAGGTAAAGAGAAAGAACGCGTGAAATTCCTTCCAAAGGTACCATCGCATCAGAATATTAGACTCGTTGGCGGTCCTGCTCCTTGGGAAGGGATCTTCGAAATATGGATCAATAGCACGTGGATTCCTGTTTGTACCCGTACCCTTCGATACGCACATTACATAATATGCAGACAATTGGGATATGAACCAGAACGGTCATATTACCATGACCCAAGAGGAAAAGATAAAATATTCCTACACGATTTCCTATGTAATATATATCAGGGAGACAACATCAACGTTTGTAACAAAAACTCCTGGTTTTTCTCATCATCGTGCACGACTTCTGTTTTGTACGTCAGTTGCAAAATTCCTTACTGGACTGGCATTCATCTTGCAGCGAGTTCGAAGGAAAGCTTTGTCAGCAATGTTGAGGTGCACTATGCAGGTTTTCCTTATAGAGACGACCTGAATATACCTGGAATCGCCTTTAGAGTGGACCTTCCCCGTCACGTGATCAGCGGTGTCTTCGTGAGTAATTCGGCTTTCATTGGTTTCCAGATTATGTATCCAGACCCCGTTAAAAGCTCATATAAAATCGAAAATTTAGCGATAGCCGAAACTGAATCAGATGGAATACGTTTGGAGTCTCCATTCCTTGAACTTTATAGTACACATGTCGTAAATACAAAAGGCTACGGATTTTCATCCTATCCCAACTGGAATGCCCTCAACTCTCATGTTCTAAATATGGCGGATGCAACCGTAAAGAAGTTTATGGACGTGTGCACCGAGAGTGAAAGATTTATGAATGACTCTAGTGTGGTGTACTATCTAGTTGTGACAGCAAGCAGCGTAGCCTGTAAGGCCACAATGACTGTTCCACGGGAATATACAATAGGACTGCAGCTGATCTACAACAATTGGCCTTCAAGAAAAACTTTCCGCATCTACAATGGAGCAGACAAGACAGCAGGTACAGTATGGAATGTCCATACATTAAGGTGGTCAAGCCGTCCTACCTGGATATCTGGTAATAGAACAATCCTATTGGAAACAGGGAGTTGGTATTGGTCACTTTCGACGGCGCATTTTCTGATGTTTCTTATCAAAAGTAAGCAGTGTTTTTTTTTAAATCTTATCGACTCTGAGATTTGGTGCATACGTTATTCCTATGGTGCTTTATATGAAGTCACTAAAGAAGATAAAAATAACGAATTATACTACAGTCGAACCTCCCGTAAGCGAACACCCTTAATGAGAAGTCTAGTGGTCGCATACGGGAGGTGGTCGCCTCCCGGAGGTCAAGAGACAGGAGTCCATATTTCGGGCAATTTGCATATGGTGCCCGGACCCTTCGTCAGCGCTTATCGAAAAAAAATAGTAAAAAAATTTAGCGGCTTATGCAAGGGAAAAAGTCTCTGGGTCTTCTTGATTGATTCGTAATTGGGGAAAGAACTCTGGTACCTCCACTCTTACGACATCTGTTGAAAAAAATTTCAGACTCCGCTCGCGAGGGACAAAACAGATTGTCTGTCATGCGGTCGTTTACAGGAGGTTAAAAACAATTGAAAATTGTAAACAAGCATCTCTAAAAGTGTTCGTCTATAAGAGGTGGTCGTTTACGAGAGGTTCCATTTATAAGGATTTGATTTCGAAACTTTTGGCATTTTGAAAAAGTAGTCGCTAACGAGAGCTGGTCGCATACGAGAAGTGGTCGCAAAGAAGGGTTCGACTGTATTTCAAGAAATTATAGAGCCAACGGTTTTTCCTTTAACGTAACCGTGATTTGAGCAACTGAGTTTCAGTTTATAGTACATACTGTAAATTGTTAAGATATGCTCCTTCACTCGCTATGAATTAGGCAGGATTTATACTGCTCGGATCGGAATTTGTTTCGTGATCATCGAACCTATCTTTTACTCCATAACCATTTCCATGACTGATGTAAAAAAGTCAGTCATTGATCGTGAATCATTGAAAATGTCTTCTATTTCTTTGTTTCATTCGACAAATTTCGTTGACATAATTTAAGCCAGAAGAAAAAAAAAGAAAAAAAAAAGGAAGGCTCTGATCGATACCCATAATAAGAACAATTGACAGGCAATTTATATTTTTTTGTTTAAATTTAGAGGAAGTCTCACATGCACTCGATCATTAGTGTTCATATACAATTATTTTTATTTTCATCTCATAGAAGGCGAGGAAGGGAAGGTGAGATCACCAAGCCTTGTAATATCTAGAAACAATTTCAGCCACAACACTAATGGTGGAATCTTTTTGGGTGGAGAGGACACAGGAATAGTTGACATCCTAAACACGAACGTACGAGACTCACCCCAAAATGGCCTATCGACAGGATTTTCCCACGTAAATAGTTTGAAGCTGCTAAATTGCCAGTTCGTCAGAAACAAGATTGGAATCAAGCTCTCTTCATTTTCAGGCAATGTCACTATCGAGAATACCAAGGTTTTTAACTCCACCGAAAATGGACTTTACGTGAACACGAACGGTGAAAAAACAATCCATATTGAAAAGGGTGGCATATTTCATAGCAATGGATATGGACTTTATCTATATGGTCGTTATACCGAAGTGAAACTTTCTGCAACTAGGACTTTCTTTGGATGGAATAAGGAGTCATCTGTTTACTCCCGAATTTATTACGGTTACAGTTCGCCTTGTCCTTCCCATACCATCTTTACAAACTGTACATTTTATGCCAACCGAGGCCCTGTAGTAGACATCAACAGGTCTCCACACTCTAATCCATGGAAATTTGACGGAAACTTTTTCCTAAATAACTCTCAAGGTCCTGTTATTTTGACTACGCAATATAGGTACAACACTCCTGGACTGTTTTTGAGAAATAACAGCTTCTTGTTCAACCTCTGTCAAGATAAAAGCGTCATAGACATAAAAGGAGGCACAAAAGTTTTGGTCATAGAAGGGAACATCTTTAAACAAAATTATGGCAGATCAATTTTTTTAGAAAAAACGTCTACTTCAGGTGCAACTATAAGGAGTAACGTCTTCACAGATAACAAATGCTTGAACAGTGGAGTCGTTGAAATTCAGAGGATGGATGAAGACATCTTAATTGTTGGCAATACCTTTGAATTAAATAAAGGACTGTCTATGGTTTTTCTCCACTGCGAATACATTGTAGGAGGGAACATGCCCTCTGACATGAAGAATGTAACGTTTTCGAACAATTCACTCATCAACAACGTGAATGTATCATCAAGTTCCCCCAGTTGTGTGGTAAAAGTCACTGGATTTACGGATTTAAGAACATTTTTCGTTAATTACAACAGATTTAGCAGCGAATACTTCTCAAAAGAATTTTGTGTAAGCACCGATGCATCATCATATAGGAGCACAATGCAGGCCTCCTTAAATTTCTGGGGTTATGATGACGAGGAAAAAATCAAGGAGAGAATATTTGATGCTGAGGACAACTACCAACAGAAATTCGTTGTTTTTTGTCCCTTCATTAGCAGTGCAGGCATCATAATCATGGGCTCGCGCAAAAATATCACTATTGATCCTCTTACAAATAGCGTTTTGGGAGGCAGGATATCATCTAACGTTCTTCTAAAAAAAGAGCACAGCCCTTACACAGCTGTGTCAGATATCACTATTCTGCCTGAAGCTTCACTTTCAATTGATCCTGATGTCGAGGTGCAGTTTATGCCAGGAGTCAGCATGTTGGTTCTTGGTTCACTTTTTGTAGGCGGAAAGGAAAATGAAACTGTCAGATTCTCTCTTTCAAAAAAGCCAATTAATAACAATTCTTTGAACCTTCGATTAGCTGGAGGTAAGTTCCCATGGGAAGGACATGTACAAATACTGTACAACGGTAATTGGACTCTACTGCGTTTAAATGAGACAGAGCATAACAAAACAAATGATGTGAAATTGATATGTGAACACCTGGGCTACCAAGCACCATTGTTCATCAATTATTCCCTTCACGAATTCCTCGGAGCGTGGGATACTTGTGCCTCTATTCAGTGTAACGGAAATGAAACATATTTAGCAGAATGCTCGCTATCTTTCCAAAACCTCAGTTGCAACACGCTGAGTCATCTGGTGCTGAACTGCGGCGGAGGAAGGCCTTGGGGAAATATCAGATTTATTCGCGAAGCTAGGAACACGTCAAGCCAGTCTAAATCAAGTTTAAAGTACCTAAGAATTGAACACTGTGGTGAGAAACATGACCAGAAAGTTGCTGCTATTGAAATGATTCAGTACGTTCCAGAAGTAAGTCGTGTGACTGTTCTTAACTGCACATCAGGTGGTATCAAGGCATGGTTCCCAGAAAGGGAGGTCATTATAATGAACAGTTCCTTCGTGAACACTGGAGGAGACGGAGTTGATCTTATAATAACGAAAAACAATGTTACACTTGAAAACGTGAAATCGGTACAAAACGAGTATGGACTGAGTTTTCATGAAGCGTACGGTGAATGGATTAACATAATAACATACGGCCAAATTAATCTCTGCTCTCCACACAAAGTGGTGGATGTCAGGGATCGCGATTTATTCATTTACTTCAAGGCACCTTCTATAACTTTCTCAAATCTAGAGGTGTCCTGCAGTGTGAAGGTTCAAACAGAGGGAGATGCCAGTTTTACCGTTCAGCTATTGGTGATGAAAAGTACAAAATCTATACGGATAAATGCTCCTGATGGACATGGAATCTTGGTGACTTATTATAGCAGCCCAGGTCCACTTTCGAAAAGAAGAATGATTGCGGGGAATTCTTTTACGGTCAGCTTTCAAGGATGGTACAGTAGCGAAATGCTTTTGCAAGTTCAACGTGTCGATAACAAAGGTTAGTAGCTAGAGTTTTTCTCCGTTATTTTCATTATTATCACTCTCCTTGTCATCTCTACTGTTATCTTTGTCGAGATTATTGTAAGTTATCTTCGTTGTCGTTTTCCTTGTCAGCCTCACGTTTCTTTTTTCTTCTTTCGGAGAACACATTCTGAATACTGCATAACAGTACCGATTGGGGGAAATAATGTTCGAAGCTTTTTTTTCCTAAGCTTAATTTTATGTTAATGTGTTGCTCCTCCAAGACTGACTCATGTTACAACCGAACTGCAAAAAAGAAACTTGAAACATGATATGTTTATCAGTGGAGTGCTGAGACGATGGGAGCAACTAAGATTTCTGTCTAATTTTCCTCAGATATGCCATGTCCATTTGACTATGGATTTTGTAAATGGAGACGTCATCCTAAGTCAAGTTTCGGAAGCAAAACCCTGACTCAAGATTGGTATCATGGAAGGAAATCTGGTGTTACAGACCATACATATTCAATGTCTACAGGTAAGTGATAATAAGTAGTATTATAGCTATCAAATTAGGTTTGAGGTTCTCCTGCAAAGTTTTCTTTCTGATGGAGTGATTGGAAATTTTTAGGTGCGTGACCACTCTCTTAAAATCAGCTTTCTCTAGTCATACATACATGCATACATACATACATACATACATACATATATACATAATACATACATACATACATACGTATGACCACTCCCCATAGGGGCTTTTCAGGGCCAACACCACCCATCCCACCCAAGGGAGGACATCCACCACACAGTAATCTCGTGCGTGGGAACTTAACGTCTCCTACCCTTAATCCTGCAGGAGACGGGGCCTGCGGTTTATTCGTCCTTATCCGAGAGGACCAGAATATCTATCCATTTCTTGATTATAGAAAGGTAGCAAATTCTCCTCACTTTTTTTAAGACCATGAGTATTGATCGGGCCGGGGCTCGAACCATCGACCTCCCGCACAACACAATCCGGCGCTCTAACCAATTGAGCTAACCGGGAGACGTCATAAGATAGAAAGCGTGTTTCTGAAGCCAGTTTTTGTAAGCAGGAAATTCGAGCAATATCTCAGGCCTAGGGAGAATCAAGCTGTCAATTCAGCAATACATTGTTTATTTTTTCATGCAGTCTATGTGATACAGATTAAGTCAGCTGCATGGCTCGACACCTTTTTGAACTCGTTGCCGAACACAATGCTTCTGCCATCAGTAAACAACATCTCACTGAAGCGCACGGTCGGAGCAATCTCTTGAAAAAATGCCTTTGCAAGATTTTGAGAAATTGTCATATTAATGTGGGTTTGACCGCCTTTTTATATCATATTTCACACAGGTGGTGTTTTATGGATTCAGGCCGGGCGCTGGGGAGTTGGTTATGGAGCCCTCACCAGTCCATCAATTTTCAGAGACAGCAACTACTGTTTCTTGGTGTTCTACTACAGGCTGCATGAGAGATACCGCGCTTCAGCATCGGTTTCTGTTTATTTTGTAGAAGATAATGCTGATAACGGGACACTGCTGTGGTCCACGAGCGAATTAATGAATCAATGGAAAATGAAAGAGATTGAGCTACCTAGCGCTGATGCCAATTACTCAATTGTAATCTTGGGATATGTTAAATACTATGGCAAAGTTTATGTCGATGACTTAGGCTTTGTTGGTTGTGATTCACGTAAGTTGTGATATATTAAAATCCGTATATGTTACATAGATGAAGTGCTTGGGCAAAAAAAAAAGAAAAGTCTTCATAGGGTTACACAATTACTGGTGAACCAGTAGTTTCCACTGTGGTCCTTGCAAACAAATGAAACAAATGGTCTAAATTGAACATAACATCATTAAGAACCCCAACGGAGGCAAACCAGTTGGCTATTTACCAATTGGCTATTTACCATACAAGTGTGGCCAAGGATCTGAACTCGGGGCTACCGTGAAACAGATCCAGTGGTCAGGGTGGGACTCGAACCCGGGAGCGGCGGATTACGAGTCCGACACTCTAACCACTTGGCCACACTGCCTCCTGATTACGAACTGATTAGCTGGCTCGGAGTGAATTAGTCAAGTTATATTACCCTCTGAGCAGTCGAGGAGAAAAAAAATGGCTGCCTGTCCCGCTTGAGTTTTCATAGAGGTCAGGGATAGATTTATATCAACAAATGAGATCAGATAAGGAAAAAAACTCATTATCAAGTAGTAATTTTTGTTAACTTTCTAACTCAAAGTAAGTGTAGGCACCATATTTACAATGCAAAGGTTGAAGCATTCCGTGTCTCTTGGAAAAAAACAGAAATGAAACAAAATTGACAACGGGATAGCTAGATGATACCCGCCGATAATTTCATTTGTCTGAAATAAATTGAGACGTAAGTTGACGGCAATATGCATAATGCTGCCAGCAGGTTTGTTTGTTGTTACTGTTGTTGTTTTTTTTTTCAACAAAAAAAGCATGCGAGGTTTTGGAAAAAGTATAGTGTTCATTTGATTTGCTAGTCAATCAGCTTAACTGGTATGTACACATACAGTTTCCCATCACTGCGTTGATTAAAGTGGTGCACGCTTACTTCCACTTCGGTAAGTAATTGTTTTCTAAGAGTAAGGTTTACTTTTTAAGGTCGCACGCTAAACTACATTACCTAATTTGAAACTTGTTTGCCTCTCATTTTTTAACAGCCGCAGTCGTGCACCAAGTAACCGGGAGCGTTTTCAGCGGAAACGTGAAGCAAGGTGTACGGTACACTTCGACTCAGAGTGGTGGAAGCATGTTTAGACTAGAACGTTGTCAGGTTACAAACAATGGTCTGAATCCAGTTCTTAATGGGAGGCCGTCAGGAGTAATTAATTTCACTGCTGTCAATCAAGAGTTCGATATAGTCAATAACTATATTGCCGGAAATAATAATGGAGGTATTTATTCCAGGATAATCAATGAAGTGTCCACGATAAGACCACTAACTAGCCATATCCATGCGAACACCATTGAGAATAATAGAGGAAGCATATTACGCGTAGAAGGAGTTTCTGAGCCCTATGCGGACGTTAAAGTGACCAACAACTATTTTTCTCGAAACCTGGCTCGAGATTGGGATGGTAGGGCAAATATTGTCTGTATCATAACGAATTTTACGGCAATTGTTCAAGGAAATTTCTTTTACGACAACGTTGGTCATTATGTCGTTTTCTATGATAATCCTCAATCAAATACTACCGGTCTTCGATTTGTGAATAATACATTGTATAAGAATGTCAACTATGGAGCAACTATTCTTTGCAATGGAGCAGCGGAAATTCTGGGAAACGTTTTGCAGAATCCCAACAACCGTTATCAGATCAGTACCACAACGAGAGGGAGTCCAGTCACCATTAATGCCACTTTTAATTGGTGGGGAGAGAGTGTACCAAATCTGATTTCTGCTCTGATCATGGATAAGACTAAGGATTACCGACTGTCCCTAAAAGTTGTGTTCCAGCCTTTCACCCAGAAACCACCTCTAACAGTTATATCTGGTAAATATATATTAATATTTCTTCTGTCCAAGACTATATTTGAAGAAAAATCGGGCCTAGATTCAGGAATGTGAAAAAGGGAGCAAAAGGCCATCCTTACCAAACAAACTTGAATTGTTTGGCCCACGGTAAATTTTAGGCCAAGTCAGCTTGGTTTGATGCGTACTTTTCACCATAAAATATCTCTTTTTCCTCAATATATTTTTCGGCTTCGTTAAAACATCAATGTTCTCTCACAATGTTTTTAAAGTTTCTAACCCTATTCCAAGTTTTTAGTTTTTTTACGACTGCTACCTTAGTTTAAGCAAGAGTGGATTATCCTCTCTTGATGTAGGAAGTTCCACGGAACACTAGATCTGCCAGAGAAAATCTGCGTGTATAAGATATTTTTCATTGATTAGTATCAAACTTTGCCCGAGTATCAACAAACTTTGTCATCGCGAAAATCACATTTTTGAAATTAAAACATATGAGAATTAAAACAATCGGTGGAGGAAAATGATAGAGTAGCATAAATACGAAAATGCTTATTAATTTTCTTTCCAGCTTCTTGCCCGCCTGAATGGATAAAAGACGATGAGATGTGTTTCATGTACAAAGGAGGCTCATTCACTTTCCTTGATGCCAAGAAGTATTGTGGGGTAAGGGTGGTTGCTTCTCACAATCTACTTTAGTCTAACTTTTTCTTCTTTGCTTGTTTTTTTCTTTTTCTTTTTTTTGCTTTTGTGTTTTGTTCATCTTTTCATGTATACACTATTCCCCTTTTTTCTATCATGTTTCTATTTTTCCGTTTAAACTTGAAGTAAACAAAATGAGGTTTTCGGCGATATGACTATACCAGGTGGCAAGGCTACTCATTTCGAGAGCGACATGACCCGGGGCGACATAGCAGCTTTTATTCCCTCCTCTCATAGCCCCTTCTAAATCTCCACCATCACCGTCCGGCTAACTGTGTTTTGTTCATTTATTAGAAGAGCGCTACTGATACGAGTACTATCCTGAAATTATACGTTCATTGTAGAGTTATGGTGGAAATATCATCAACACGCTATCAAACGAAGATAAACAACTCCTAAAACATCTTAGACAAAAAGAAACATTGGTTCGTTCAGACGTGTTGCCTTCCCTCTGGACTATAAGTCGACACATTTTGAAAGAGGTGAGAAAACGTCTAGGGCCCATATAAACTCTTGTTCTTAGGCCATCGTAGCTTGATTAAGAAAATAGGACAAACAGCGGTGATGAACATTGTATTCCAATGCATTTTAAATAGAACTTGACGTTTCGTATGCTAGTCAACATAAATTCTCAAAAGTGAACCGTTATAATTGTTGAAAACTATCTATAGTGAATGTAAGAGGTGCTGTAGATTCTTTTTGTCTCAGTCTAGGTTCCAGACCTCTTACATTCACTATAAATAGTTTTCAACAGTTTTAACGGTTCACTTTTTGAAAATGTTCTAGACAAAAATTTGTCTGGAACCTAGACTGAGACAAAAAGAATCTACAGCACCTCTTATATTCACTATATATAGTTTTCAACAATTGTAACGGTTCACTTTTGAAAATTTATGTTGACTAGCATACGAAACGTCAAGTTGTATATAAAATGCATTGGAATACAATGTTTATCACCGCTGTTTGTCTTATTTTCTTAATCTAGGGCCCAGTTGTAGAAAAGGTGGGTAACATTTATTCGATGGATAAATCGCTATCCAACGGATAAGAGACAGCAAAACGTCCTGAGCTATCCACCGAATAAAAATTTGTCCACTGGATACAGTTATCCAACCTTCGAACAACCGGGACCTGGTCGATAATAGGTTGGTGTTCCAAAGTCGTCCTTGAGTAAAAGAATTTGTACGAGTTTTTACAAAAATAATGCAGTTGAAGTCATACCCTAACGTCACTTGCGTGTAATTTTGTAACCCAAGAATATGAAGGGCAGTAAATTACACTCGCTTCTTGAATCAAATTTCACAACTTGTTAACATGCATGATTGACCATTGTTCGTAGCTGAAACATTGTAAAATACAAGGATTTTTGTTCATGCCAAGCCTTAGTATTAAAACGTTTTGAAAAACGAATTGTGATTCGTTGAAGCATTGAATACCGACACGCAAACTGAAGCTTTCTACTCTTTTGTTCAGTTCCAAAACCTCTTCCTGAACGGAATCGTCAAGATTGATCGCCATTTTGGCACTTTAGAAAAGGTTGTAATGGCATATGCAATTTTTCACGAGAAAAGATCCTATTTTACCTTAGATTGCTTAGCAGTTTTTCGCAATTAATAAGTAGAAATTAAAGTACCCTACTTTCTCAATTGGTCAAGTTTCACTGGAGGTGTAATTCTATGACCTTCCACCCACGATGTGTTGTCTTCAAATAATGGTGTTTGCTTTCCTATCTGTTTCTTTCATTTCCGCTTTTGTTTGTTTTTTTTTTTTTTCGTTTATGCATTTTTTACGGCGAACAAAAATTTAAGACGTATTGAATACAAAGTGCAAATATTCGAGACATTTACCATATCCCTCTGCTTCACTACAGCCCCAAAGTGGATATGATCAGAACAATAATGTATGTCCTGTGGTGGCTGCCGACGGAAACGTTACACAAGTCAATTGCGATGGACTTCATCCCTTTGTTTGCGTGAGAAGGCCAGGTAAATTCTTATTGATCATGATAAATGAATATTGTCGGTGTAGTTAAGGATCATGATTCATAAATACCGATACGAGATCGTTCAACTATCTTCACTATATATATCACGTCATATATATATATATATTTAGTATAATTTCAGAGCTGAGCAAAGAGTTTCCAGCAATCTGATTGGTCGAGCGGTTCCTTATATGACACTATATAAACCGCTCCACGCGGTTTATATAAAATGTTAAGATAAAATGTTAATAAATGTTACTAAAATGTTCTAATTTTATAAATTTCTCTGTTGTTCAGCTTTGAAATTATACTAAAACAATTATTCGCCTCAGGTTCGGTGAACATTGTCGAAGTCGAGGGGATTATTCGACGAAATTCACCTCGCCTTCGGCGAATAATTGTTAAATATATATATATATATATAAACGTAAAAAACCTTATCCTTGAATCGGAGAGTGCTCTACAATCATGGAACTTTGTAAAAAATTATTTAGGAAAATAAAAATTAAAACTTC